AGGGGATGTTTTTTGATAATCAAAGATTATTTTTCTGATATTCAAAAAGCTGATGGAAATGCAGGACTTTTGCTATAAGAGTGACCACAGTTTTTATTGAAGTAACAATGCATTGCTGTGCCATGCAGTCTTTTATAGTTTTATTGTGTACTTTTGATACACTGAATGTTATATTTTTACTGTCGGAACTGCAAAACCTGCTCAAAACGTCCATGGTGTGAGTGGTTGCAGGGGTGCTGAGCTGTCCAGGTGAGCACAGGTGGGTAGTGCCAGCCAGAGGCTGCGCCAGCTCTGCCATCCTGCACCAAAGGCACCTTGTTTGGGATTACACTGTACTAGGCAGACAGGCTCTTCAGGAATCCCTCCATTCCTGTGTCCCTGCCTTGTTCTCCTGAATGGCTGTCCCTGTGTCATTTTCCCCCCCCTGTAGACCTGTGAGGGTTCTGACAGTTTTTCTGTACTGGCATCACTGGTGTGAATGTTGCTGAATGTCTGTCCCGTTGAACAAGTGACCGAGGAAGACCTTTTTCCTCTCATCTTTTACTCAGGTCTAAAGGAAGGCTGCTTTCATTAAATGAAACCTAAAAGCTCAAAAAGTCTGCCCTCAAAACTAAAAACATGAAGAAAGGTTCAGTAATGCTCAGAAATTAGAACAAGCTGTGGAGTTGTTGTCTGGAATGGGGCGAAAAGCATTGAGTGTTCAGTTTGGGCAGTCAGAGGTGGGTGGCCAGGGTAGGTTCTGAAAACTAACCCAGTGGGAAGGTGCTATGAGTGACCTGCAGAACTCTAGTCATGTCTCCTTTGCCCTTTTTATCTGGGGAACTGATGCCATTAGGCAGAGGGAAGTAGAATCAGCATCCATGCACTTACTCAGATTTTGTTTGTTGAAATAACCAGAAGTTGTTGTGCACTCTGCTGCTTTCTTACATGGCTGTGCTCATGTGTATGGTCTGCTGTTCCTGTCTCTAGCAGTATTTCAGATCTGCAGGTGAACCAGGTAACTGTTACAAGGGCTTGTGGTCTCTTTAAAAGCTTTTAAAGAGCTTATTATGCTTCAAACAACAATATCATAGAGTGAAGGCATTTATGCCCTTTGTCTGCATAAAATCAAATATTGTCCAGAATAATATAATTTTGTTATTGTTGCTTGGGTTTGTTTTGAATCTGTTTCAAAAGGTGCACTTTATACTTGGGAAATATCTTTTGTTTATGTTAAACCGAAAATTTATACCTAATGTTAAGTTCTGAGAGCTTTTCTTTTCCCAGCATGTTCAACTGAGCCTCTCTGAAGAATAAATTTATAAACAATGGTTTTACTATTATTTTAAAGAATTGCAGTGTGTGAACTTTATTAAAAATGGTCTTACTGTGCCGTTATAAAGAGCCAGAAGTATTCCTGTGGAAGACCCTCCCTCTTGAAGAGACGGGTTCTTGGTTCCTGTCTCCTCACAGTGCAGCAGGGCTGGGAAGGGCTGTGGGGAGGATCCCACCTCTCCTTGTGCAGCCACACGGCCGTGCCCACAACTGGGAGAGCAGGCCAGTCTCTGGCCTCAGCATCCTTCCAGGGGTCAGGGAAGCTTTGTAGACACCTCTCCAGCTGTTGTGTGGGAGAAGGTGAAGTCGTGCTTGACCAACCTGGTCACTTGTGCTGAAATGGCTGGGCTGGAGGCTGAGGGGACAGCAGTGGATGCTGTCAGCCCCAGCAAGCTGCTGAAGGGGTGTTTGGGTGAGGAGGGTGAACTGAAACCTGCCTGCAGGGCTGGGCTCAGAGGGTGGGCTCAGTGGCACAGGTCTGGTTGGAGGCCAGTAACAGTGGGGTACCCCAGGGGTTGGTGCTGGGCCCAGGCCCAGAGCTCCATTGCTGAGGGACAGGGTCCACCCTCAGTGAATTTGCAGGTGACACCAGATGGGGAGGAATGGCTGGTGCACCAGAAGGGGATGTGCTGCATCCAGAGGGATCTCAGCAGGCTGGAGAAAGGGGCTGACAGGAACCTCGTGACGATCACCAAGGGAAAGTGCAAAGTCCTGAACGTGGGGAGGGTCACCCTCCTTCACCAGGATGTGCCGAGGGCACCCACCTGTGAGGCAGCCTGGAGGAAAGGACCACGAGCCAACAAATGTGCAACAACTTTGCTCTTGCAACCGAGTGTTCCAGTGGCGGCGTGGGCTGCCTTAGGCTGAGTATTGGCAGCAGGTAGAGAACCCTTCCCCTCTGCTCTGCACTGCTGAGGCCACCCCTGGAGTGCTGGGCCCAGAGCTGGGCTGCCCAGTACAAGAGACTGGGACACACTGGAGAGAGTCCAGCACAGGGCCATGAAGGTGATGGAGGGACTGGAGCATCTCTGCCATGAGGAGAGGCTGAGAGAGCTGGGACTGCCCAGCCCGGAGCAGAGCAGGCTCAGGGGATCTCATCTGTGTGGATAAATACCTGGAGGGAGGGTGCAGAAAGGATGGGGCCAGGCTCTGCTCAGCAGTGCCCAGGAACAGACCCAGGGGCCATGGGCACGAACTGACACACAGGAGGGGCCCTCTGAGCATCAGGACACACTTTTCCACTGTGAGGGTGGCTGAGCACTGGTGCAGGTGCTCAGGGAGGTGGTGGAGTCTCCATCTGTGGAGAGACTCGAAAGCCGCCTGGGCACATCCTGGGCAGCTGGCTCTGGGTGGCCCTGAGGGATCAGGGACTGGGCAAGGTGACCTCCAGAAGTGCCTCCAACCTCACCCAGCCTGTGATCCTCTCCAGCACTATTGGCAGAAATGTGAAATGGGCCTGAAGTCAGGGGCTATGTGTTGGTGAGGGGTTAGGCAGTGCTGAGAGGCCTGGAATGGGAATAGGTCCTGGTGTCTTCCTGGGTGGGCAAGGTAATTTATTGGAGCCTTTCTCCAGTCTGTTTGGTGATGGCTTGCACCTTTGGTGCCTTCTCTGCTGCCACCACCATTTGCCACAGCAGCAGCAGCTTCTGCAGGGCAGAGAAGATGTTCCTTCTCTTCTCCCTGGGCTGAAGATGGAGGCCACAGCCTGCCAGCCCTGGGGTGTGGGAGGCATTTGTGAGTCTGTGTCTGTGCTGTGTGCCCCAGCCGTGCTCGCGGGCCGTTGGCAGCAGCAGACGTGGCACCTCAAGGGGTGAGGAGGACACATGTGTGAGGTCCAGGTGGATGGTGCTGGGCAGTGTTGGGTGGTACCAGGGTACAGGGCTCATGTGCCCCCAGCTGGGTGCCCTGAAGGGCTGCAGTGGCCTCCAGGCACATCCACTTGGAGTGTCGAGGCCATTCGGGGAGAACGGGGGCGCAGGCTCTGCTCCCCTAAGGGTACCTGGTCAGAGCAGCTGTGAACAACAAGCCAACCCTTGTGGTCATGGGGTAAGGGAGGTGATGAGGTTGGACTTGACCAGTGGCACAGTGCCTTGGGAATGGTGTGGGCAGCAGGAGAACCATTCATTTTTTTTTATCTGTGAGGATTCAGAAAGGGAGGAAGACAAACCTTGCTCCAGCTGTCTGATGGGCTCTCAAGAGACTAAAGGCAACTGGAACTTTGCCACAGGTCAGACTGTAACCCTGGGGATGGTGGAGGGGGTCGGTGGGATTCTGAAAGTGGAGGAGGGAGGAACAAAGGAGTAGGAAGAAAGGGGGTATGAAAGGGTTATGTTTAAAACAGGACTGGTTGATGCATTGTCTGCCTGTGTCCTGCACTGGCTTCATCTTCTGTCTGTCCTGTCCTTGGCTTAAATCCATTCTTACCTGTTTCTCCTTCAATCTCCCACAGCCTGTGTGGATATGTGCTGCAAGAAGTAGGTGCCAGCTGCTGGAGAGGTGGCAAGGGTGGGCTGTGGGAGATGGAATCAGCAGGGAAATGCCTGGTGAGGTTCAACGCAGGTACAAGTGGGGTAGGGAGGGTGGGTGGATGTGTAAAGTGCTGCAGCCTGGGGATCCAGGCTTCACAAAATTGCGGGTTTAGGGGCAGGAGCTGAGGTGAGATCATGGGATCATCAGGTGAGGTCATGGGGTGATACTTCAGCTCAGCATCCAGTTATGCTCCTACAATAAATACATCAAATGTGGTCAAACCAGGCAGGCCCTTGCCCTGCCATGGAGCCCCATGAACCACCCCTGCCTGGAATCCCATGGAGCTGGTCCTGCTGCTGAGACAGGGATGGTGGAGGAGAGCTCGCCCAGCAACCAGGAGTGAGAAGCTAAACCCTGTCAGCCAGGCAAGAGGCAACAGGTCATAGAGCTCTGGGTGGGAAGGGGTCCAGAAGGGCTCTTGTCACCCTTCCCTGGTGGGAGCAGGTCAGGCTGGGATGCCCAGCATAGCCTGGAAACCGTCGTCCTCATGGGGTGATGAGGTGGATGGAGACAGTAGACTCTGCCAGAGGGGGACGGATCCCTGCACCCCCCTGAAGCAGTGCCTCAGGCTGACCCCCTGTTTGCTGTGGCCTGGGCTGGGACAGGGCACAGCTGGTGCTGTCACAGCTCAGGCCTGCTCCCCACCAGGGGCTCTGCACACCTTCATGGTGCCATTCGTTTTTTCCAGGGCAAGGATGAGGCTGTGGGCGCAGCTCTACCTGTTTATTGAGGAGTGATGACTGTGCTGCCTGCCAGCCCTGCCAGCTCCTGGGTGTGCCTGGTCCTGCCGGCATCGTGCCACTCTCGAAGGTTGCTCCTCCATCTTCTGCCCTACGGTGCCCGGCGCCACCGTGTGCCTCCATCCCAGCCAGGCAGCTCTGTGGGGCCATGGTGGGGCCGCTCCTGCAGCCACCCTGGGCAGCCCGGCACGGTGGCAGCAGCACTGCAGGGCTGAGACCCCACTGCAGCCCGTCCCCATCATGCTGCCCCCACTGGCTGCTGGCACGACATGGGGATGCTGGGGGGAGGGAGGCAGGGGCGAGGCTGGCACCGTCCCACAGGCTCGGCGGGTCCTGGCAGGGAACAGCTGTGCACGAGACGTCAGTGTCAAAGCATCCCCCTGGTGCCACCTTTGTCCCCAGGTGTGGTTGGTGGGGTCAGGCCAGACCCCACAGTTCCAGGTCCTGGACGCAGAACTCCTCCCGGGACGAGAGGGTCTCGTTGTGGAAGGTCTCGCAGCGGCAGCTGCCCCCGCGGTGCAGGTCCCCGTCCAGCCACAGCCCAAACCTGCCACTGGGAATGTGCCAACGGCACGGTTGGCTGAGAGTCCCCACTCCTGCCTCCTCCATGCCTGGAGACGTCCCAGGCCACCTCCTGGGGGATCAGCCACCTCCTGTCCCCATCCCCTGTCCCCCAAAATGGGCATGAGACAGGACAAGCAGCCGCACCAGGAATGCCGCAGGCAGGGAGTGGGCAGGGAGCAAAGCCAGGCAATGAGATGGCCAGTGCCGCTGGACAATCTGTGCCAGCGTTTTGGGGTTCAAATCACCACCACATGCCTGGACTCAGCTCCACAGGGCTCTTGTGGCCATCAGGGCTGATGGCCCTGTGGATGGCTGAAGTTGCCAGTCCAGCTCCTACCTGCCCCCGCCGACCATCAGCAGGTCCACATCCCCTTTCACGAAGAACTCGTTCCTGCCTGTCCACCTGAACACCTGCATGGGAACAGCAGTCAGTGGGGATCGTGGGCTGGGGCACAGTGTCCCCATTCCTGTCCCTGTCCCGTGAGGAACAGCTGGGGGTTGCTGAGCCAAGCTGGCTCTGCCCAGCATGGCCGTGTCCCACTTCTGCAGAGGAAGAGCTGGCCGAGCCTATCGGCACTGTCCTGCTGCTGGTCCGTCCCTCCCAGCAGCCCCGGGGACCCCATCAGGGGACAGCTGCCACCACTGATGCCCCATCACACACACAGAGTCCCACCAGAGCAGGCAGATGTGGCTGAGCTGCCTCCACATCCTGCCAGCTCAGTGCTGGGCTGTGACTGTCCTGCTATGCAGAGGGTCCCTGGTGGCCCCCAGCTGGGCAGAGCCCCTTTCCCTGAGCCCCCCCTGTTCACTGCCTGGGACTTGCCTTCTCCCCCCAGCCCCGGAAAAACTGAGGGGACCAAGCACAGCCATGCCACCCCACAGACCCCTCCCCAGCACCGTCGGGCCCCCCAGGCGTGGCTGAGTCCCAGGGGCATCGCCAGCCCCCCCACCCTGGGGTGGCCCACAGGTGGTGGCCCACAGCTCCCACCTTTAGCTCCGGGGAGAAGGAGAAGAGGAAGGTCTCCCCTGACCCGTAGAAGCCACTGCTGCAGCGAATGGCGCTGGAGGAGAAGGCACCGAAAGCCTGGAGGGAGCAGAAGGGGAGGCTCATGGCACAGTGCTCGGTGGGGCTCCCCAGTGCCAGGACGTGTCCCCCATCCTGCCTCCAGCAGCGAGGATGTGGCCAGGTCCCGGATGCCGCCAGGTTTGCTGCCCCCAGTGCCGTGGGGCAGCTGGGAGGGGAGGGCCCGGCTGTACCTGCGCCTCCGTGTCCCTGATGAGCAGCAGGGCCGGGGACCCCGGCTGGCCCCCGCGCCGGTACAGCGTCCGCAGGCTGAAGCCATCCTGCCTGGTGGAATACTGCAGGCGCCAGGGCTGCTGTGTCAGCCGGGAGGGCAGGTGGGGGCCCAGCTGAGGCAGAGTGGGCTCAGTCGGGGCTGACAGGCTGCTGCTGAGCATCCTCCCCCTGCCCCGAGTATCCTCTTGAGAGAGCTCATCAAGCATCCAAACATCCTGCAAGGGGTGTCCCCAAGCACCCTCCTCCTAAACGTGCTCCCAAAGGGTCTCCTCAAGCACCCAAACTACCCAGCAGGCTCCTAGCATGTTTCCCCAAGCATCCTCACCCTGAAAACCCTTCTGAAATGGCTCCCCAGGCATCTTTCTCCCCACCCCCAAGAGGTGATGTTGAGGTGCTGTTAAGATGACTGTTCCCAAAGGACAGGGGGATTATCACCCATCTGGCCTCACACTGGACCAGTTCCTGGCAGGACAGTGGCCATGGCTGCGTGACACAGGGGAGATGAGTGTGACGGTGGGTGCCCATGCTGGCAAGCGTCCCTCACCTCATGGATCTCCCTGTCCTGCAGGATGCTGCTCGGTGTGCTCAGCACCAGCCTGCATGGCTCCTCCAGGGCTGGGGCTGCTGCTGGGGCTCCCTCCCAGCCCAGCTGCCCCTCTCTGGCTGGCTCCTCACATCCCACAGGTGGCTCCTCACATCCCACGGGCAGCTCCTCGTCCTGGTCGGGCTGAGGGCAGGTGGAGATGAATGTCCCTGTGGGCCCAAGGGAGCAGCATCTCCCGACCCTGCACTGCTTGGGGTGTCTCCCATCCTCTGTCCAGGGGCTGGGCGAAGGGGTCCAGAGTCCACTAGGCTGAACCTCCTGCCCCTGGCAGCCTCTGCTCCCCACAGCCCTGCTGTGCCACGCCGGGCCATGCCTGGCACTCTGCCAGGCCGTGCCACTGCTGCACACGGAAGTTCAAGGGCGTGTGGCCACCCGAGGAGGGAAGAGGAAGGGAAGGCAGGGGAGGCTTCAACAACTTCAGTACCACTTCAACTCCAGCAGAAGGGGCAAAGCATGACCTTTTCCCTCCTTGCCCACTGCTAGGCTGACCCTAAGGTGTGGATGGGTTCAGGGATGTGCTTTGGTCTTGGTGGCAGCTGGTGACATGTGTCTCTCCCAGCCACATGCTCAGTTTGACTGTGGGTGCAGTCCGTGCCCAAGGGTGAGTGGGCAGCAATTCCCCGCTGGTCGCCCTGAGGGGACAAGAGGGATGAGCAAGGGCAACACTGGGTGGCAGAGGATCTCCTGCCCCCAGGGTGCCTGGATCCTAGGGGGGCAGAGTGGCTACAGGGGCAGGTCCCATGTGTGCCCATCACCCACTGCACCTCTCCAGGGCAGCCCCTGTCCATCTGTCCAGCCATGTGTCCAGTCTAGCTGGTGCTTCCCAGCACTGCCCCCAGCTCATTGCCAGCTCCTACATTGCCGTGTGGGACCCCATCATGATGGACTTACCAGGAGGTGGTAGCGGACTTGGAGCCCCCTCATTGCAGGTGCTGCCAGGGCGCTGGAGCTGCTGTGCTGAGGAGCCCCAGACACCGCCCTGGGGTTAATGTTCACCGCGCCGGCCCCTCCCTGGCCATCTGTGCATGACACAGATGGGTGCGGATCCCAGCAGCCTGTCCTGGCTCATGGGGGTCCAGGAGCTGACCCCTGCACAGTCAGGTCCTGTGTGGTGCTGGGATAGGTGGGCAGGCATCCCCCTCCAGCCAAGTGCTCCGTGGCTGGTGGCCATCACCTCCTTTGTGCCCCCACTGTCACCTGGAGCCAAGCAGGGAACCCCGAGGCCACACGGGAGCCCTTGTTTTGGCATCAACAGGAAGGTGGTGCATGTGTTGCTCTTTGCAACACGACTGTTGCAATGGTTGTAGCAACTGCCAACACCTGCTTGGAGGCCATGGTGGCACAAGGAGATCCAATCTGTGCTGACATCCTATGGAGCCAGAGCCCTGGGGAGAGCCAGGACTCAGCAGATGAGGGAGGGAACCCCTGGCTGAGGCACCCTCCTACCTCAGGTGCCGCTGAAGAAGCTCCTGCAGACCAGGGAGGAGGTGCAGTGCCCCAGTGCAGTCCCCACTGATGCCACCCCCCAAGAACAGTCAATACAGCTGTGAGCCTGTGGGTACAACCAAAACAGTACTCCAGTGAAGCATTTTCTGTGTGCCCTGCATGGTGGCATGATGACTGCAATGCCAGGCCCAGGCCCTGGGCCCACTGCAGGCAATTTGGGGTTGCTCCTCATCTCCACGGCAGGGCCCATTGCACTCCTGTCAGTCCTGGGTGTCAGCTCTGTTGTCCCCATCAGGCTTTGACAGCAGCCTTGCCTTTTACCCTGCTCCTGCCACATCCCTCTGCCCCCGCCCCCATGTTTCCAAACCCCTGCCCCTGATTCTGTCCCTGTCCTTGACCATTGCCCTGCCCATTCCCACTCTTGCCCTTTCCTTTTCCCTATCCTTGACCACGCTCCTGGCCTATTGCCCTTCCCCTGTCTATTCCCCTGCTCTGTCCCTGCTCATGCCGATGTCAAGCCTCTGCCCCTTGCTCCTCCCCTGCCCCAGAACTCACCCCATCACCTTCCTCAGGAGCACTTCTGAGTCCAGCTTTGGGGCTTGCTCCCCGAGGAGACCCAGATAGACCCAGCCCAGGGGGCTGGTGGGACCAGGAATGGGGCTGCAGAGGATGGAGATGCTGCCTGCAGGCCTTGGGTCAGTCCTGCTGCCTCCCAGCATCGTCTCCCTCCTGATGGTGAATTATTTTTGGCTTTGTGGGAAGAGGGGGCTGTAAAATAGGCACCCTCCCATAGCTCCAGCTAAGTCACTCTCTCCTTTTCTCTTACACTGCTGTTAGGTCACCTGTATGTATCTGGCCTTCCCTAAAGCTGGCAGGGTTTCAGCCTGGCCTAGAGACCTCTGTGTGCTTTTTGGTCACTTGTTTTCCCTCCCAAGTCCTGTATTTGCTTTCAAGTCCCCTCCTGACCCCTCCATGTACCTCTCAGTGCCTCCCAGAGCCCCCACCCACCCTCTAGCTCCCCCCTATAACCACAGAGCACACAAGGTGTTCAAAACTTGCACAGTTTATTATGCTCCTTGCCATGCCCTGCCGGCAGCTCAGCAGCCCAGGCTCCCTTTGCCCCTCCCTGTGCCCTCAGGCTGCTGCCGGGGCTGCCCCGCCTGGGGCTGAGCTCGGGGCCTGAGCTGAGCTTGGGGGCTGAGCTGGGCTTGGCTCCACCCCCCCAAAGCGCTGACAGCAGTGCAGTAAGGCAAAAGTGTTAATTGTCCAGAAAGAAAGATGTTTACACACCTGCCTGGGCACATCCATCTCAGCTGCTTGGTACCAGCTGTGGTTTCCATGTCACATTCCCAACCCTTCGGATGTCCCTTGGGATCAGTGGGACACTGCAGGTGGCTGTCACACTGTGGTCGCATCCTGGTGCCACCATAGCCAGCAGAGCCTGGCGGCTGCACCCCAGAGGGCCACATTCAGGGGTGAGCAGCAGCAGCTCCAAGGTGAGCAGGTCTGAGCACAGAGAGGGGAGCAGGGGGGACCAAAGGAGGCTGATTTCAGGGAGCCTCCACACACAACCACGAGCCCATGGCAAGTGGGGACAAGAGAAGGGCACATCCACTAGTGTTAAGCAGCTGTGGAACATGAGGAGCCCAACAATAACAGCAGTGACTGAGGCTCCTCCTGCATTTGGTCTGAGGCCTTACAGGGAGACTGTGATTCCCACTGGTCCCTAATCCAGGCTGCTGCCCCGAGCAACCACAGCAGCACAGTGTGAGCCTGGCACTGCCAGGCTTTGTCACCTGACAGAAACTGGGAGCAGTGGGAGTCCATCTCCTCAGTAGTATTTCTTCTGAGACCTGCAATGCCTCTGTGCATGGTCCTAACATGGAAATGTCTGTGTTGCTCCAATGGGATAGAGCAGTTACCCAGCACCCTCCCCCTGGCTTCTGCTTCCACCCCAACTCCAGTTCTCACTAGTGTTTGAGTGCCAAGGTTACCACCTGTGGCAGCAGCTCCATCTGTCCTCCTTCCAACAGGTCATCATCCTTGGTCACCCATCTCTTTCACAGCACCCACTGTGCCTGAACACGTGGGATTTTTCCAGATCCCACAGCAGTGGGACCACCAAGAAATGGCTTCTGCAGCCAGGGCTCAGGCACCAGGTACCTAGAGATTGCCTCGTGCCAAGCAGAGTTTTACTAGTCAAAGCAGTGAAGGGGAAGGTTCCAGGAGAAGCAAACATCTCCAAGAAACAGTGATGGAAAAGTAAACAGTTCACAGTCTGAGCTCCTCCTGGACCCTCGTGGGTTTAGCTCAGACACTCCAGTTCCTGCTGGGCTGCCCAGAGCTAATGGCTGAGGTCGCAGTGGAAAGCACAGCTGAGGGGAGGGAGATGCTCCAATGGAGGCACTGCAGCTCTTACAGTCTCTGTGCTGAGCCCACAGCTCAGCAGGACATTCCCAGAACCTCAGCCCTTTCTTTCAGTAGGTATCATCCCCAAAGTCAGACCTCATTCAGGGAACCTTCCCCACCCACCCCACATACCCCAAGCTTTGCATGTTCCTCATAGTAGTCCATGTCCCAGGGAAAGGTGGGTACAATCCTTATTTCAAAACCAGCATGGCCTCTGTCCCATCGTGCCTTGTCAAGTGCAGTCCATGAGTGAGGTAGTATTCACGCCGGAGGAAGGCATAGAAATAATCTGAGATGAGCAGGATCTGTGGAGTGAGATGTTCAAACACATCAGTGGTGCTTCAGACCAAGAATAAAGAGGGACACATGTTCACATGTTGGTGACAGACCCTGTAAGTGGTGTAAGCAGTTCCTAGGCTGTCCAGCAAGCTCCACCAGAGGAGCAACTGCAACCCTGGGAACACCATGTCCACCCCTCACAGTGTTAAGCCAAGGGAGACTCACACTAATTGTTTGCTATTGGTGTGTTCTCACAGACATTTCTGCTAAGGAGACAGCAGCTTCATAAACTGGCCAAAATATACAACAATGGCAGGTCCAGCTGTGCCACAATTGCACAGGTCATCTCACTGTACCCACAGGACTCCTTCCATACATCCTTCCATGCTGTCACAGAAGCAGTAAGGTTGGAAAAGACCTCTG